TTGAGACAGAGTTTTACTCTTATTGCCCAGACTGGGGTACAATAGTGTCATCTGGGCTCACTGCAACCTCCATCTCCCAGGTTCACCCAATCCTCCTGCCTGAGCCTCCCAAGTAACTGGGACTACAGGCACGTGCCACCATGCCCAGCTAATTTTTGTATTTTAGTAAAGATGGGTTTCATCATGTTGGCCAGGATGGTCTCGATCTCCTGACCCTATGATCCACCTGCCTCAACCTCCCAAAGTGTTAAGATTACAGGCATGAGCCATCGCGTCCAGCCAAGCATATGATTATTAAAAAAAGAAAAAAATTAGAAGTGATATCAGAAATAAGTCATCTCTGCTCCCAGCTTGTAAATGGCAGAAATGGCTAGGTCTACTGGTGGTCCCGCTTTTGGCTTCAAAAAACAGATGAACAAAAACATTCCTACAAAAATTATATATTCTATAACTCTCTTCTAGGCTATCTGAAAAACAACTGCTTTTCATAAGCGTCACCTAAGTTTTCCTACTCCATTTTAAAGGAATAAATAAGGAAATACAAAAATATACTATCACTTGTGAAAATGTTTAGCCTCCACCATTCTCCCCATATGCTTCTATTATAGCACAGATGAGTCTTTCTTGTGTGTATGTAAATTCCTTACCCATCTCTGTTTTGAGTGCTACTTAAGGACTAAGGAGTTCAGAACCCAGGTTCAAACCCAACTGTGGGCTAGTAAATGATTCTGAAAAGTCAAAGAGAGCTCTGATTTACAGCATTTGCTGATTTCTAAGGTATAAATGTGCCTACTGTGGCCAATGCAAACCATGGCTGGGTTCTAAGTTCTTGGATATTTAACAAGTGCCTCTTACCAGCCAGCAGTAGCAGCTCCAGGACAACACTTATTACCTGGGTGATGTGAGTGCTCAATCTCACTGAACTTCAGTTTCCTCAATGTGGACAGAAGGAAGTAAAAGTGCCTAAACTTGACTGGGTTGCAGTGGGAATCAAATGATATATGAATGTCATGTATTTAGTGTGGCCTCAGGCATACAGCAGGCCCTTCTTAATAAGTATGTGCTGTATGAAATGTGAAGCTTCATATACATTCAGCTAGTAAAACACAAAATTCTAAGATAATTTCTTTGCTATGTTTCAATAAAATAAAGGACCACCTCTAGCCTTTCAATCACACAGTTATTTCTGTACACAGTCTTCTCTGCACCTCCACCCCTATGTAAAAACGAAGTTTAAAATATAGGCCTTCTCTTCCCAGTTCTTCCCGGAAGTTGGGAAAAAGTAGGTTTAGAGGGTGAAAAATAAATAATAAAATAAAATAAAATATAAACAGGCACAAGGGACAGAAAGTATGGTTAACAGTATAAAGGGCAGAGGAAGAGACAGGAAGCTACATGCTAGAGTGGCAATTGCTTGTTAAAGTACTGAATACTAACAAGAACCCCATGTAAGGTATGTATTACCCACCACCTTCATTCTAAGGATGAGGAAACAAGGCTCAGGAAGGTTAAATGATTTTCTGCCCAGCTAATAAGTGGCAGAAATGAGAGATCCCAATCTTATCCCCTCCAATCCCATCATCGCATTCTAAAAGCTGCCTCTTTTTAATATTAAAATATCTGAAAGCAATTCAAATACCCAACAAAATAAACTTTAAACTATTTGTGGCACATTTGTGAGATGAAATGCCAATATAAAAATATATATATTACGTTTCAGATTTTGATTTTTTTTTTTTTTTTTTTTTTTTTTTTTTATTTTTTTTTTTTTTTTTTTTTTTTTTTTTTGGTGACAGGGTCTCATTCCATCACACAGGCTGCAGCGCAGTGGCGTGATGGCTCATTGCAGCCTCAGTCTCCCGGGCTCAAGCCATCCTCACATCTCAGCCTCCCAAGTAGCTAGGACTATAGGTGCCAGCCACCATGCCCACATCATTGAAAAAAAATTTTTTTGTAGAGATGGGGGTCCCACTAAGTTGCCCAATCTGGTTGGATTCTGAAGAACATTTAAGAGTAACTGAAGGCCGGGTGCAGTGGCTCACGCCTGTAATCCCAGCATTTGGGAGGCCAAGGAGGGCGGATCATCTGAGGTTAGGAGTTTGAGACCAGCCTGGCCAACATGGTGAAACTGCATCTCTACTAAAAATACAAAAAAAATTAGCTGGGCATGGTGGTAATCCCAGCTACTGGTGAGGCTGAGGCAGGAGAACTGCTCAAACCTAGGAGATGGAGGTTGCAGTGAGCCAAGACTGCAGCATTGCACTCCAGCCTGGGCGACAAGAGCAAGACTCTGTCTCTAAATAAATAAATAAATAAATAAGAAAGAGTAACCGAAAATGCTCATGAAATACGTAGGGGGAAAAAAGCAGAATATATGCATATACATAAACTGCAGGCCTTTAAAAACCAACCATACATATGTATCTGGAAGGAAAATGTGAAGAGTGATTCTTTTGATAGCTAGATTATATACTTCTATTTTCTAGTTTTCAGTAAGTAGGCATGTATTGTTTTTGTCTTTATTTTTATTTTGAAACAGGGTCTTGTTCTGTTGCCCAGGCTAGAGTGCAGTGGCACACAATCATGGCTCACTGCAGCCTCAAACTCTCAGGCTCAAGTGATCCTCCTGCCTCAGCCTCCCAAGTAGGTAGGACCACTGGCTAATTTTTGTAGAGATATATATATATTTTTGCCATACTGCTGCACGTATTTTTAGTTTAACAGAAAAAAGTTAAAATTAGTAGGTATAGAAATGAAAAATATGTAAAGATGACAAAAATCAGTCACTGAGATGTTTGCTATGCTCTAACAAAACCACCCTCACTTGTGATGTTTACTACACTTCTCCAGTCCTGATGAGTGTATAAGTTATGTTAGTAACTTCCCGCCCTCCCAGCCAATGTTTCTCATTTTAACTTTTTAATATTACCTTAATAAAATCAACTTTAAGATATTCTGTCATTTCATTCTCCTCCATGCAAAGCATAGGTATAACCGCACTTTTCTCACACTATGAAGAAATTAATCTATACTACCAAAATCGAAGATGTAATCAAAAATTCTTTGAGTGGGGAGGGGAGAGGAGGATCCCCTATAGCTACACATCATTTTTATGACAAATGATCAGTTGTTACAAGGAGGGTCATTTTCCTGGGCTCAAGCTATAACAGTGTAACAAATAAGTCATCTACTTCATTTACAAAGCCCTGAACTGCTTTGCTGAAATTCAAATATTAAACTGTAACTTAAACAATCAACTACATGGCAGTGCGGTGCCATGGCTCATGCCTATAATCCCAGCACTTTGGGTGGCCAGGGCAGGCAGATCACTTGAGGTCAGGAGTTCAAGATATGCCTAGCCAACATAGTGAAAAGCCATCTCTACAAATTAAAAAAAATCAGCTGTAATCCCAGCTACTACGGAGGCTGAGGTAGGAGAATTGCTTGAACCTGGGAGGCAGAGGTTGCAGTGAGCTGAGGTCGTGCCACTGCACTCTAGGCTGGGAGACAGAGCAAGACTCCACCTCAAAACAAACAAACAAACAAACAAAAAAACCCTACATTTTGTTTACCTAAACATAAACAATTTTACAGAGAGTTACTCTAATGGGATCTATTCAGCCACACCAGTATCTTTTTAGACATCTTTAAAGCACCCTCTATTGAAATTTTACTACTGTAGATATACTGTATATCTGTTTGTGTACTTAATGTATATATGTGCTCCCTTTGGGGAGAGGTCACCCCTGCTGAGAAGGTCTGACCTACACCACCAACCAAATACAGTCCTTAGCTCACCAGTGACAACAAAGGATGGTCTCATTGAAGATGAAGGCATACAGATGTGCCATTTTATGGGCAATAGTGAATATGGACTGAAATTATTTCTGTACCATAACAAAAAGTTACTGGTGTTTCCCTTCAAAACAATTTGGGGTTGTGGGTATCACTGGGGCATGAGTCAAATGCAGCGGTACTTAGGAGATTAAAAATGCTCATTCTATTTTGGGAGAAACTAAAATTAAAAGTCACATTATTTATAAAAGTCAAATAAGAGAAATTATGCTATTCTAAAAAATAAATCTATGTTAACCATACTGAAGAACTGAATCTCAAACTTGGAAACATGAAAACTGTAAACTTTACTACTAAAAGATCAATTTTGGTTTGAGAGAGGAGGGGGAGAAAATCCTCTATAGGTACAAATCATTTTTAGGACAGATAATTAACCAAGTTTTAAGCTAAAGACTCAATGAGATAAAAACTCTGTTTTGCAGACAAAGAAAAGTACCTTTTGCTTTCCTTGGAACTTCTGACACCGGAGAAAATAAAGGTTCACTTTTTGGTTCAGGCAACAAGACGGCCTTGCTAGCTCTAGTCCTGGTGCTACGGGAGGATTTAGTAGAGGAAGCTGTGGCAAGCAATCTTTCTTCTCGGTCCTTTGTTTCTTTGTGTGTCATTTCATCGATGCGTTCTTCTGATACTGAGTGTAATGAACGTTTTTGGCTTTGATTTTCAGTCCTTTTTGTAAGCTTCTTCTTAGAGCTCATCACCATTGAAAGTTCCTCATTTGGCACTAAAATGGATTTTCCTAAAGCTGGTTTTCCAATATCAGTATTTTCATTTTTAGCTGGGGTATTTCTTGTAGATCGCCTTTTAATGCCGGGAGCTTCTCTCTTCTTGGGACTTCTCTCTTCCTTTACAGCTTTAGCTCCTACATCTTCAGATGGATTTATTTTTCTTTGTCTACCACGTTTCCTAGGTATGGCAGACATATCAAATTCTGCTTGCAGAGTCAACTGAGATGAGTCAAGGCTGGAGTCTTCTCTCACATCTGATGGTTTAACCTCTCTCCTTCTGACCCTTCTAACACAATGAGTAGGCAGCTGCTCACCACTGGATTTCTCATCTTGCTTATTTCCTGTATTTTCAGAAGCATCTAAATTAGCACTTCTCAATTTTCTGATAGTTCTGCTAGGAGTTGCTACTTTACTAACTTTCAGATCATTTATAATTTCAACACTTTCCTCATTTTCTAAAGATCTTTTAATTCTTCTAGGAGTCCTTTTTGTAATCGATGAAAGCTTAACTTCTTTTTTAAACATTTCCTCAACTGCTGGTTCCAAGAGCTGAGATGGTTTTAATATTTTTGATTCCCTACCTGTAGCAATCTGTAATTCTTGTTCCACAGAACTGGTATTTTCTAGTATGTCTTGATTAACTTCTTTCTTTCTCCTTCCTCTCCTCGGAGTAACAGAATGTTGAGGTATTTGCTGGTTCTGAGATACTTCTTTAACATCAGAATAGGTGTTTTCAGAAGCTTCAGAAATTTCTTCTGCCTTCCTAGTTTTCTTCCTAACTGACTGCCCTGACCTCTTAGGAGGAGCAACGCCTGCTGATGCTTCCTGTTGTGCTGACTGGATATTTGTGTTTCGGATCCGCTGTCCTCTCGTTCGAGTTTTGGAGGAAACCATGTCATCAACCTGGCTGACATTTATAGTCATTGTGCTTGTTTCCTGAGCAGTCTTAAATGCAGATTTGACGACCTTAGTGGGACACATTACCTTCTGGCTTACTAAAGGTATCGTTTCATGACTGGACTGCTCCACCATATCTGAAGTCATTTCTTTACTTCTTGTGTCTTTAATTACATCTAGTAAATTTTCTGCAATTGCTACTTTAATTGGTTCAGGCACATATGGTAAAGTCTCTACTTTTTGGGTCTTTTGGTCACTAGTCATGACAGATGGCAAATCTGCAACTTGTCCATGATTATCATTTTCCCCACTGTATACAGGTTTTTCCTCAGGTGCGGTGTTAGCTGCTTTAGGTAACACATCAGGTGATGCAAAATCACCTGGCTCAACTTCTCCTTCTTCACCTTCCAATATCAAGGTAAAGTTGCTCTGAGCCACAAAAAGTTCCCCATCTACTTCGGCAATGTCACACTCAGCAGTGTCTTTATTATCAGCTAAGTCACAAAACTGCTGGTCAATAGTATCAAAATTATAATGAAGCTTAAGTGTTCCAGAGGGATATAACTCATTAAATGAAAGATTCCTAGCCTCTTCTCCTGAATCTTGAGCTTCAAGCTTTTCTTGTTCAATCACCTAAATGAATTAAAGATAAGAGACTGGATAAATAATTTAAATATGTATTTTAACTTGAAGCACACAGGTTTTTGATGACCCTTGGCTGTGTGCCTTTTAAAACATAAATTATATTTAATATGGCATATATGCTTATGGGTTTACTTTACAAAACATCCCTTTAAGCAACCAGTTTCTCATTTAGTCAAAATAACTAGATAGAAAGATTTTGAAATTATGACTGAAATTTAAGTAGAAATTCCACATTTCCCTGGCTAAAAAGACAGTCAACAAAACCTTGAAAATTATGATGCTAACAGTTCTGAGAACATTTATGGACTTATTCTACTCTCACCCAAGAAAAAAAATTAACCAGAGAAAAAGCAACAACCCCCAAACTGTGTTTTAATGATATTCCCCAAATTACCTAACTATCCACACTTTTCTAAAACAGCACGATCCCCATAAGGTTGAAGAACAATTCACATACATAAGCTCCCTTGGGCTAGACTCAATCCTCTTCCCTTTGCTGGGGCTGCATAAACCATGAAATTCCTAAGGCTTTCAAGTTCAGTACCTCTCCTGCAAGGGTTTGGTGGAAGAAGGAATGGTCCTTGCATTTACCTTTTGGTAAGGGAAGGGGAGAAAAAGGAGGAGGTAGAAAGTAACAGAGAGATCTCCTGACCAAGAAGGTAGAACATTACCACCCACCTAGACAATGACATTTTCCCATTCCCCAAACAATCAGTGAGATGACAGGCTAGAAATAACCTAGAAATCAGAATTCCCACTTACACCATACCCACAATTTTTCTTAGCCTCCCAACTAAAGGAATTGGAACTTTACTCATCTACTTGGCAGTTGGAATACTCATTAGGATGACTATGGATAACTGTGACATTTTTATGAGTTAAGAAACTTCCCAAATTCTAAACTATCAAATTTCTATAAATAATTAGAAATTATTCTATAAATAATTTCTATAAATAATTTTTTTTATCTTAAAATTTATTACATAAAAGTTGCCTGCTGATAATAAAAGATTTGGTATAACAGAATTTTTAAAAAACTCTTAAGTCACATTAAGTAGCAAAAAATCCTTTCCAGAGTGTACAGATGTTCAACAGCAGCCAGCTGACTATCATTCTCCCAAAAAGGATGCATGAGGGGGAAATCCTGTTTAACTGTATCCATGTATTTACATGGTCTTATGACTAATAAACCAGATTAGCAAAAATTCAGTTGGTGAAAGTATGGCTTCTTTAACACATCCTTTTGGCTTTCATAAAAACCAATTTTTTTTTTTTTTTTTTTGAGACAGGATTTTGCTATGTTGCCCAGGCTGGTCTCAAACTCTTGGGCTCAAAGGTCCTCCCTTCTCAAACTCCTGAGTAGCTGGGACTACAAGCACCTGCCACAGCACCCACCTTGAAGGCCAATTTCTTAAAGGATGTGTTTTTATATTCCACAAAATATTTATACACTTATTTTTTGAACCCAGATTTTTATAAAGAAGTTTTTATATAGCAGGCAAACAAATGAGCGTGTTAGGTTTGAACCACTGTGTCTTCAAACAACTAAAGCAAAACTGACTGACAAAGAAGTAAAAAATTAATTTTTTTACATGAACTTCTTGAGTATCAGGAGGGCTGTCAGAAATTGGAAGCTTTTCTTCTGGGAAGTCAACACATTCTTCTAGTCCATCAACTTCTACTTCACGATCTGCTTTTAAGTTCAACGCTACTTCCTGGTTAAGCCTAGGCTCAGAGATAATAGGACCTTCAGAGTTGCCACTATCACCAAGGACATCAGCCACAGCTGAAAGAAAAGTGAGAGTGAATCTTTTACATTTAAAATGAAAAATAAATCTATACACAATTAAGGGAACTATCAGAAAGGAAAAGGCGACAATGAACTTGAATATTATATTAATAAACTTTCACATTGCCAGAAAGTCTGCAACTTCTTTAACAATACATACCTTTCCACAGAAATAAAAGAGAAAAAAAGATACATTTCACATTTTAAAATGATAACATTGGTTTTTCTCAACTGGAAGAGAATTCCTGCCCTTATCAGGAAACTTAACATGATGACGAACTGCTTCGAGGAAGTTCAGGCACTTGTTCCTTATAAATGTGAAAGCTGCTTCACCATGTGACTGACTACCAGCTATCCTTGTAGAGTAATTATAGAATGACATGACACACATGCAATCTGGGCTTCGATATGACTAGGAAAAAGAATGAATCACTTTCTGTTGGCAGAAAACACTTAAATGAGTATAAACGTACTCTATCACTTTAAAAAAATAGTTTTTGGGCTCACTTAAAAAGAAATTCCTTCTTTCATCTTCCCCTTTGCCAAAGCCTACTATGTCATTAGCAATCATAGGTGATATAAATACTTGGGTGTACAGTTTGCAAATGACACAAAATACCACAAGAGGGGAAGATGACAACTAAAAATCCTTTAGTGTTTAACAACAACAAATCAATAAAAAAGCACAAAAATAAAAGATGAACTAGGAAAAACTACTTCTACACTTTTAATGGATAATGGGGCTGTTATCCCTAACATGTGAAAACTAATCAAATTGAAAGGAAAGCAAGCATTTTACCTTCTCATCAAATACATGAAGTATACAAACTTTATTGGATACAACAATAAAATATTAAAAATCTGTATATACTTCTTGACCCAACAAGTCCATGGTTAAAAAAAAACTGACATAGAATGTAATGTAATGCATATTCACTGCAGAAACAGCAAAACAAGCCCCAAATGTTCAGCAATAAGCAATTAGTTACGCATAGAACATCTATACTGTGGAACACTGTTAGAGCTGTTAAAAAGAACAGAATTAATCTATTTTACTGACAGAAAAATGTCTTAAATACATTGAGAAAAGAAAGTTGCTTTTTTAAAAATAAATGTACTAATGATGATTATTTCTAACAGCTAACATTTATTAAACTTCAGGTACCAAGCACTACACGAAACACTTTATATGCAAATGGCTTAATCCTGACCACTCTATGAAATGGGTGTTATTAATATTCCCATTTAGAACTATTAATATTTTACCAACAAAAACATAGAAGTATAGCCCCTTTGCAGAACTGGGTTACGAACCCAAACATTCTGGTTCAGGCCCCCGCACTCTTTAGCCACCATATTATCTCCTCTTGCAACACATGGGGGGACATATGCACAGAAAACAAAAATTCAGGAAAGATACTTTAGATTGTTAATTACAGACCCTTAAAATGGATGATCAGCTTTTCATTTTACATGTTAGACGATTCTCTCTGTATTACTCTATCATCATGTATTACCTTCTCAATCATGGGACAAAGACAAGTCTGCCGAAGCCTGTCCTAAGCCCCATTCATAATGTACGAGGGACAAAGGCGTGACAGTTAAGAGCATGAGCTCGAGTCACATGACAACTATGTCACAGTAGTGCTGTGAGGATTCAATGGGTTAATATGCACATGATTAGAATTATTCTGGGCATAAACATTCAAGGTGTCTGCTTCCCCTAAATCCAACGTAAGCTCCTTGAGAAAAACATATCTTCCTCATCTCTGTATAGCCAGAATAGGCCCTCACGAAAATGCTCATTGAATTAAAAAAAGTAAATTCCATATATTTAATTTCCCTGGAGTATATCGAGTCATTTGTGATTTTCTAATGATGAAAAGTCAACTTTGGCCTTAAGTTATCACAAACACAAAATAAAAACTCTTCGGAGTCCAAGAAGATCAAACAGCAGGGATACAGTTGGCTGTGGACTAGCAATTTACTTTTTCTTTTTTCATATTTCTTGTGCAAAATATGTCCACAAAAACCATTCTAAGACTTTCAACATTAGAGCCACAGAATGCCTTACAAGCAACCCACTGTCTGAGAGCTGACACATCTCCTCAGAATACTTTTATGCCAGGAAAGCTGACCAGAGAGGGAGGAATAATTGAGGGGGAAAAATATGAATAACAGAACAGATTTTTTTTTGTTCTAAGAATAGAAAACTCTTTACTCAAAACACAAAAATGGAATAATCCTAAAGTCAAAATAATACCTACATTTATCGTCAATTGCTCTAATTGCAGAGGTACAGGTTTCAACAGATGTTAATCCTTCGTCCAACACTGGTGCCTTGGACTTCTCAGTGAAGATTTTCCTTTAGAAAAAGATATACACACCTTAGTGTGTAAGAAGATCCCATCTGCTTTAACCTGCTTTATAGTCCTGCCCCCTAACCTGCCATTTTAGTGATATACAACTGAGGTTCAGAGAATACAGCTCAAATTCATTCTGAACAACAATATAAAACTGACAAGTGAATTCAGAAACACTGTACTTGTTTTTCCTACTTTCTAATGTTTTAACTCTTGTTCGCAAAAGTAGGAATATGACATGATTTAAAAATGCCTGTCAGTATACATTATATTTCAGCCAAGTTTTAATAATCTGTGGCCACAGTTTTCAAATAAGTCTGTCAAGTATTATGGAATATTTCCTATGAACTCAGTAGAAGAAAGGTTCAGTATTTTAATGCTACCTGGAAACAGTATGATAAATGACTCAGAATAAGAGACTAATAAAACCTGTATTAATCCATATGATGAAAATAAATCCTGGAATATGATGACAGTGCTCCTTGAATATTCTAATCTGACCTTTCTCAAAACCCAATTAAAGGATGCTAGTTTTAAAAATTAGGGCAAATAGTATTTTAAGGTAAATTCAAGAAAAAGCAGGTATTTAAAACATGTATAGATTTTACAATAAGAATAACCAACAGTGACACATCCCCACAAAATATCAAGTTAGTTTCTATTTTAAAAGGAACTAATTAGCTAAGATAGTGAATATGCACCTAGATTCTCACTGGTAATTTTCACGTGTTTCTTTTTCATGTGATTGTTTTCTGCTTTGCAATCGTTGCAATTCCCATCAAAGCCATTGCAATAAATATTAGTTTTCGTTAAAATTCAAAAAACGTTAGAATGATAAAATAATTTGGGTAATTCTTTTCTATTGGCTTCTTTTACTTTTTCCATGCAGGCCTGGCAAAGATTCCAGCTAATAATCTAGATGTCTCAGGAATAAAGCATGTGATTTTGTTCAATGTACACGGGGTGACTATCATGATATTGAACTGTATAGGTGGTCTGGAAAGTCCCTTTCATTATTTATAAATTAATGAACCATTTACAATGTGAATTATGTTTTATGTGGGTTAGTTTCACTAAATTGCCCTCACTACTACTTGATAATTGAAGCTGTCCCTTTTTTGTATCCTCTACAACAGTGCTATTCAAAGTGCTGATATGCAATCTGTGTCACTCTTACAACGAGACAAGGTGGTCTTGCCAGAAGGCGCATCAGTTACTTCGCTAACCATACTGATTAGTACAGCTGACTTTCCCTAAAGGAAGCAGAGTACCGATTTATATTCCAAGGCAAGCTGTTTATCTTGTTGCAGAACATAAACTAAAGCTCTCACCAATCTGCTTGACCACGCTTTGAACACGCTGTCTAGTAAGGTTTCAATTATTTGGGAGTATAATGTGTCAACCGGTCGTTAAAAAACACAAACCTAAGAGTCATGTATTGAACATAAGAAAGGAAATAAAGCTGTCGTCTCCCCTGTGCTCTACCTTGGGCTACCTGTAAGAGTCTTGTGGCTGATCATCCTGAAACCACTGGAAAGCAGAGGACATGGAGGAATGCACAGCTGGGAGTGAAACTTTTGGTCTCAACAAAAACAGAATCACCGAAGAATATTAAAAGTTCACCAAAGAATATTAAGAGTTCTGCCTCAATTTATCATGTCTCTGTATATTTCCGAAATGTCTAGCAGCACTGCAAAAACGTCATAGTAACTACTTAATAACATACAACTGTACAACTAGACTTCTTTTAAAACGGCCAACATCACCAAATGGAGATGTTAAAGGTCTAAATGAAATCTAACAAGCACAGTATTTTACTTCTGGTTCACAATTTCATTAAACTTCTTTTAAAAAGTATTTTTGAATTTTTCTCCGTAAACTTACCCTTCATGGATTGACGGTACAGAACTTTGAATGGGGCTTAAGTGATTCAATTCTGAAAATGCCTCCTCTGCAACTGAGAGATCTTTTGTTTCCGTACCTTCCAAATTGCCTGTAAGTCATACAGACAAGAACATTATTTATGCTAAATGTTTAGTGATTACTGGTATCTTGTGTGGGTAACCCCCACCTTCTGGGCACAAAGGAAGGAAAGTTAAGGAGACCCCCAGCACAATTAGTGCCTGAAGAATATCTTAGTTTATAATATTACTACTCTGTTGTTTCCTTTTACATAATCCTTTATATATAATCCTATTAGTTTATAATTGGAACAATTAGTGCCTGAAGAATATGTTACTACTCAGTTATTTCCTTTTCTATATATATATGATGATATCTTAGTTCATAGTTGGAGGAATGTCTAGAGCAGACACGGTACAGAGCATGAATTAAGGGAAAAACAGCTCTACATACATATCATATCTTGTTTATAGTCGTAGGAATGTCTACAGCAGACACGGTACAGAGCATTAATTAATGGAAAAAGTTATACCAGGACAAGAATCTATGGCCCAGGCAGTAGTGCCCCTGCCTGAAAGGGCATGTGCTACATGGCAGGCTGGCCCAGGGCAGCATTCAGTATTATAAAGATGCCTGCTGCATGGCAGGCTTGGAACAAGAGTCACTCCTCCTGTAAGGAAGTTGCAGTATCTTGCGTCCAGTTCTTATGGAAAGCTGGCCTCTGGCTGGCAATCCCGCGAGCATCGAAGGGCTTAAAACCCCTCCTGTATAATCGCGCCTTGGTGGCTGTATAACCTGTCAGCTCTCTAGCTACCGTGCGGACTCAAAAGCATCCTCCTACAGAAATCACTGGAAGCTGCCAGCAGGTGGCGGTAGACCCTGTCAGCTCTGTTGCCGCTGTACTGACTCAAAGCATCCTCCTATAGACATCCTTAGAAGTTGCCTGCCCCTAGATAAGAGATGTTGCACACTGCACCCTCCTTACTACACACTGCCTAACTCCTCGGTGACCTAATGGGGGTAGGCCCCTTGCTTATTGCTCAGGTGAATGTCTTGACCCTATCACTCTCCTTAAAATGACCCCACTCACTACCCTGCCGCCTAACCTCTACCCAATAAACACAGACACTTCTGGACACTCGGGGCCTCGCCTGTCTCCGCTCAAGTGGCATTGGCCCTCTGAGCCCAGCTGTGCTCTGTCCTTCTGTGTCTTGCCTCTTTATTTCTTAGATCCTGCACCTCAGCACAGCGATAGGGACACCCCATGATCCTGTACGGCTTGACCCTAGAATCTTGCATTACTACTTTTTAAAATTTTGTTGGGTCTGCTTCTTTTTTTCTTTTAGGTTTACTGCTGTGTTATCGGACTGCTAACACTTTCTTCTAATCCTCAGAGCCTACCTCAAGAGCCCCCCTTAACCTCTCGCTTTTCACTTTTTGCTGAACAGGCACTAATGCAACTGTTTTACATATATTAACTCAATCCTCAACATCCAAAAAAGCAGAGAAGAAAACTGAAGCCTGGGGTTATACTGCCTAGCCCGGCTCATGACGTGTACTCAGTAAGCAGCTGAGTGAGCTAGGGTTCGAATCCAGCCTGAGTCACTCTAGAGTCTGTGCTATAGGAACCCCCCTACCAAAAAAAAAAACATAGATTTCTATTTGAGACTGCCTAACATTGTTAGGAATAATCAGTGAAGATAATGGTACGGACATTCTTTTAATAGCTACCATTTAAACATTTTGGTAGTGCAAGGCACATCAAAAGAGCAGTGTAGGCCAGGAGCGGTGGCAAATGCCTAAACTCTAGCTACTTGGGAGGCTGAGCCAAGAGAACTGCTTGAACCCAGGAGGCAGAGGTTGCAGTGAGATGAGATAGCCCCACTGCACCCCAGCCTGGGTGACAGAGCAAGACTCCATCTTATTAAAAAATAAAAATGAAAAAAAGGCAGTGTAAATTTCTAGACATTTATGAGCATAGTCCTAAAGTTCTTAGAGCAAGCAATTAACAGTGCCCATGCTTACTAAGTAAAGATATCATAGTCCAAACTTCAGTGGACTTGCCTCTTAAGCTACCTAAGACATAGATTTTTATGTAAGTGTGTGTGTTTTTACAACTTTAGAGTTACCAGTTACCTTTAAATAACCTTGTTAAAACTGTATATAGTGTAAGAAACATACAAATAGGCTAAGTTTTCTGATCCACCAATTCTAGGTCAAGTCTCTTCCTTCACTAGTGTTCCCCTGGCCCCCCATCCCTCCAACATAGCATGAACCAAACTGTAAGTGTTTGTCAACATAGTCCACCATGCTCTATGTGACATGGGAACAGGTGCCGTTCTACTTTACTCACTGTCTGATCTTCAATACCCAGAATAAACATAGTAGGAGCTAACTGGCATACATTAGGGACTCAAACAATTTTTTTGAAAACGAAGATAATATAAATGCACTAGCCACTGAACTAGTTGTTTTTTTTTCTTCTTCTTCTTCTTTTTGAGACAGGGTCTCATTCTGTTGCCCACCGGGAGTGCAATGGTGCAATCATGGCTCACTGCATCCTCAACCTCCACCTCCTGGGCCCAAGTGATCCTCCCCTCTCAGTGTCCTCAGTAGCTAGGACTATAGGTGCTTGCCACCATACTCAGCTAATTTTTTTTTTTTTTGTACAGATGGAGTCTCCATATATTGTCTAGGCTGGTCTTGAACTGGGCTCAAGTAATCTTCTCACCTTGGCCCCCAAAGTGCTGGTATTATAGGTGTGAGCCACGGTACCTAGCCTGAACATTTAACTGTCCAGTGATTATTCTGGAGGTGAGGATGGAGAGTAGAATGAAATTCCTGATTTATAAGAATTCTAGAACTTAAGACTGCTGGATAAGTTAAAAATTGCAATACTTTGTTCTGTAAAGTTACTTCTCATAGCTACTAGAAGGACTTTCAAGTCAGACTATGGCATCTTACATTTCCTTCCTTAAAATATGACTGTTCTTTTCTAAATTTCCTGGCCAAATAAAAAAGTACATGTAAGTCCTCCTTCTCTGAAATCTCATACCTATTCATGAAACAATGTAAGCCATACTTTCTAAGCCAAAAGAGTAAGATCTGTGTGTTGTGTCTAGGAACCAGTACACTGTGAGCATGCAATAATTTAACCCTGAAGCTTTCTTTTTGAGACACAGTCTTGCTCTGTTGCACAGGCTGAAGTACACAGGTGCAATCACGGCCCACTGAGGCTTCAAACTTCTGAACTCTACCACTTCAGCCTCAAGGGCAGCTGTTGACTGCAGGCTCATACCACCATGCCTGGCTAATATTTTAATTTTAATTTTGTAAAGACAGAGCCTTGCTATTTGACCAGGCTGTCTTAAGCCCCTGGGCTCAAGCAATCCTCCAGCCTCAGGCTGTAAGCATGTGCCACAGTGCCTGGCTGTGATGCTTTTTTCTTACGGTGGGAAAAATTCTATTATAAACTTCATTGAGGAACATTAGTAACAATTTTGAGTATTCAGAAATGAGTTCTTACCCATTTGTTTCTCCAGGTCTGAAGGAGTTACTTTTGACTCAAGTACATCTTTATCTCCAGCCTTTTCAATTTGTTCAGTTACCTTAGGTTCAGTGGAACAGCTTTTTGGCTTAGAGCCCATGAAAACAGTATGTTCAAGGTCTTCTGGTGATGGTGCATCCTGATACTCTAAGGTAGTCTCCACGCTGCTGTTTTCTTTGCTCATATCCAGTTTCTCTAACCTTTGTGACCCCACATTCATTTCTTGATGGTCCCTTTCAGGGCTACTGAGGATAAAAGATGTCACCCTATCTTTGCTCTTCAGCCATTCGGTTTCTGCTTTGCTATCATCTGCAGCCTATTAAGTAAGATTTTGAAAAGAAAAAGAATTAGTAAATATCACAGTTCGGTCTGGTCCTAAGCTCCCCATCTCAACCACACCCACATTTTCTATGCTGTTTGTACCCAAACTCTCTCCTTAATAAAAATTCACTTATTCTAAATCAATTCTCTTCTGGTACATAAAAGTTAATGTGGCTAATGTTTCCCTAACTGGTAATATACCAGTATTTTCAGGAGACTAAAACACACAACAGGCTAAATGACCAATAATCACTGAAAGGTTCCTAATAACCTACAGTGGATCTAGAGACACACCCTCCTAACTACTCCACCAGTCAGAAACTTATAAGTAACAAAATACAACGTAAAAGTAAACATTAAAAAAAGGACTAAGAATTAGGAAATCTGGATCCTAGTCCCAATTATACCACCATATACCCAGATGACTACAACCAACTTACTTGGTGTTTCCAAGCCCTTTTATCTGTAAGATGATGGGTTTGGCTGAGCCAATGGCCCCAGTGTTTCTTTCAGAACTAATATTTTCTGATTGCATTACTATCTGCAAGCTTATATACGAAAATCTAGGCTGGGCGTGGTGGCTGACACCTGTAATCCCGACACTTTGGGTGGCCAAGGTGGGCAAATCACACAGTCAAAAGATCAAGACCATGCTGGCCAACATGGTGAAACCCCATCTCTACCAAAAATACAAAAATCAGCTGGGCATGGCGGCATGCACCTGTAGTCCCAGCTACTCAGGGGCTGAGGCAGGAGAATCACTTGAACCCAGGAGGCAGAGGTTCCGTTGAGCCAAGATTGTACCATTGCACTCCAGCCTGGCAACAGAGTGAGACTGTCTCAAAAATCTATAGTGGTATTTTAAAAATTGATTTATGTAACTTTTTACTTGTAGGAGCTAATATATTCTTATTAAATATCTTTTCTCCCAATTATCAAACGTACTCCAGGAATCCATTTTGGGTTCACGTCTTCCTCCACAAATGAAATTCTAGTTTCTTTAAGTCGTTGAGGAGACCTTCCAGGTGATGGAGAGGGAGATACTAAAGGTGTTGATCGAAGAGCAGATCTCAGGATGGACTGAGGAGTGAACTCAGAAAATCCAGAAGAAGTAACTGACATGGCCAAACTTTTAGCTTTCTAGGATAAAGAGCAAATGGAATTACACCATTAAAAGGTGCTTATGTAAGAACAGACTGGGTCAACTGAGTCACAATAGTGGTTATAGTCTAATCTCCAATAAGCATGTAAATAGAAATATTTATTCCAGATTTCTGCAAAGAAAATACAAAATTCTTCCAGAGCTTTTTATATGTAAGCCTATGAAACCTAAAACTGCATCCACAATCTTTCTAAAAGCATTATTTCCAGCTTAAATTCAACTAAAAAAGTGCCAATTAGGAAGATAAATTACTTAACATTATAGAATTATAGAAATCTAATAATTACAGAAAGCTACAGTAAGACTGTAGTATATTACAGAAAAAAAGTTCATCACAGAAATCCAGTAATAACCAAATTACATATTAGAATCCTCTGAAGATTTAGTACGATGAATACAAATAATCTGAAATTAGCATGTATGTTATTTAGTAGAGATAATTCCTTCACTTAACTTGGCCTCTAAAGGCCTAGTAAACAAATTACTGAATGTTGTTAGAGTATAATGAGTTCGTTAGACATGTTCTCCATAACAATTCTTTTTTCTAGGTTATTCTGGCAGCAGGTAAAAAATTATTCCAATTTTATTTCATTTGAACTTAGCTGTAGAGAATATAAAATGTATTTTTTTAATAAATACACTATTGAATATTAAATTAGAGAAATCTTATTTTTCAACTTATTTTAATAACTATTTTAGGAATAGCATTTATTGAGATATCTTTTATTCAACTTGAAAAATAAGGATTCCCTGGCTTTGATATAAAAGCTGGATATCCAAACAGAGAACCCAGGGACAACGGGGAGGGATGAGGGAGAAAGAAAGCTTCTGGGTTTCAATCCGTAACACTGGTCAAGGGGCTAGGGAGATAATATGTAAAGGAACTTTAAAAATGGAAAGGTAAGGCCGGGCGCGGTGGCTCAAGCCTGTAATCCCAGCACTTTGGGAGGCCGAGGCGGGTGGATCACAAGGTCAAGAGATCAAGACCATCCTGGTCAACGTGG